AAACGAACATGTGGGCAGCCCGTCTATATGCCTAGTAGCCGCAGTATTGAAATAAGTGTACAATGTCAAATAAAACAATTCTTTAATCTGCTATGTTGTTCGTGTTTGATCATCAAAACAGTTGTTTCTTTCTCTCCAAAGACCATACGATTCAACTTGAAATAAGATCCTATACAAGCTGGTTATCCTTATCGTGAAACTTTCTTCTCGTTGCCCTTAACAAGTCCTCCATACGCTTCGGCAACACCCTATCCATGTGTTGAGACGCTAAAATATCGTTCCACAAAAAACGAGCAGCATTATAATAAATGAACAAGTGGTCAATCGTTTCTCCATCTCTCCTACACATATAGCTCCACTCTGTAACATAAAAACCCTTTACTTGGAAACTATTTGCCGTTAAACATCTGTCCTCGGATAACAGTCCATAATAAAAATGCTACCCTTAGAGGTAGTTTATATTTTCATAACATCTTCCAAGGGAATGAATTCTCCACAGGTCCCAATAAGGATTTAAATTAATTGCGGACTGAGAAGATACCATCTTGTGTCAACCTCCACCTAAGTGCACCTCATACTAAGATGTTAGAAGCAGCTCATAATTATCTACTTCCCAGCCTTGCAAACCCCGCTCAAAAACAATGTTCCAATTGAGACTTCTGTTATGTATATCTAAGACCTCATTCACCGTAGTAGATTGCACCAAAGCAATATGATGCAAAGAGGGAAAACACCACCCTAAGTGGTTGCTCTCCACATCAACAATCATCCTAAAAACTAATAGTATTATCATTCCCCACTACTAAAGTCAATCTATCCCGAAAATCGCTCTACCCTCGCTGGATATATTGCCACAAACTCACCTCATAAGAACCACAGCTCTCAACCGAGCACTATCCACTTCCATAATACCATATTTTGCCCCTAAAATTTCTCTCCAAAAACTCTCCCTATCCACTCTGAATTGCCACAACCGCTTATCCAACAAGGTCTTATTAAACAATACAAAGCTTCTCAATTCGAGACGCCCTACTCTTATGGGAGAACAAACGGCACCCTAGTTAACCATAAGTAATTGCCTTTGCAATAATCCTCTCTAGAGAGACTTCCTTTGAATCATCTCTTATCTTTTTACCACTACAGTAGGAATAGGAAACAATGACAAAATAAGTAGGGAGATTTGATAAGGTGAACTTAATAAAAGTAAAATGCCTCCCTTTGAGAGGTACATGCACTTCTACCTAGCTAGCCTTCTCCATCCTTTCCACAATACTGTTCCAAATATGTATACTTTTGAATCGTGCTCCTAAAGGAAGCTCAAGGTATGATATAGGCAGCTGCGCAACCCTACAACCCAATAAAGTAGCCAACTCCTCCACGTTCTCGACCTTTCCAATTGTAATAGCCTCAGATTTCTAAGATTTGTTTTCAGTCTGGATGCAGCCTCATAGCATAGAAGCAAACGAAGCAAGTTCTTGAATTGCTCAACATATGCATCACAGAAGATCAACGTATCATCTGCAAACAACAAATGAGTACCTGCAACTGATCGATCATAAAGCCACTTAACAAACTCTTTACCACAGCCTTCTCAAGTATCCCGCTGAAAGTCCATCACAATAACAAACATCAATGAAGAAAAAGGATCCCCTTGCATCAATTCTTTGCTGCTCCGAAAATAACTCTCAGGAGTGCCGTTCACCACAACTGAGAAGGAATCTGTAGAGATACTAAACTGAATCCACTGGCACCACTTATCCTTGAAGTTACATCACCTGAGCATGAAGAAAAGAAATCCCTAGTTTATGTGATCATAAGCTTTTTGAATGTCAATCTTACATAACATTTTTGGAACCCTTAGATGCAATCTTAAGTCAATGCATTCATTTACTGTAAGTACAGACTTGACTTGGTGCGTCGCTTTCCTGGCTCCATTTCTTGACTGGCTGGATCCACATTCAAATTGATCTTGAAGTGGTACGGCCCAATCTGCCTATCACATCAAGAAGGTGGATTTCGTACGGAATCCAAAATTTGACGCCCTTTGACAAAAGCATTCTGAAAGTTATTTCCCCAACACCTCCTTTAATTTGTTCGCTAGAATTTTCGCAATAATTTTGTACACCTCACTAACCAAACTGATGGGTTATTATATTTTCTTGATAAATTCTATTCAACATGCAATATGTAGTTAGTACATATTCTATAATTCAATCACTTGAAATAATTTTCTGCTAGATTATTAGTACGTCCCAGAGAGATTTGACATCTGGAAGGAAAGTAAGGTTTTCGTCCATGTTATTGTATGCATGATTTAACTTTTTAAGCATTTATAATTGTGTGTCCTGTTTCGATTTCAAATTCAAAAAAACATTTGTTCTGTAGTCTTATAAGGTTTTCCGATATGTTGAAGACCAGAATTCAAATTGCATTCTAATAATTTTGAAGCTTTTCGTCTCTTAATGGTTTTCATAATGGTCTTCCAATCAATAATAATTTTAGACAACGCATATGGCTATCTTGAGATGATTGATTGGGAAGACAGGACCAGAGGAACACCGTTTTGAATAATTGATCTAGATCCTAACTGAAATCAATTATCTTCTTTTGTCAGCTTTATCATTCTGTTATGGCCCATTTTTTTAAATTATTTACTCTCCAACGCTGAAGTGCACTCCTGGTTTCAAATATAATGAAATCTTCTGGAGATTGAAGTCCAAGAAAGATTTTCACTTTCACTATGATATTTTCTTGTCTTGGGACAGGATTTTTTCCCGAAGACATTAGTCAAATCCATGTATGTTTCTTTTCTGGCGGGGTGTTTCCGCTCAGTACGTTTTGGCTTAGAGGAAGCTCATGGGTAAATTTTTTGTCTTCCAAAACTAATTTTCATCTAGAAGTATTCCTATTAAGCTCTTTTTTTGGTCTATATGATCAGGAAAGGGCAAGCACTGCAGTTTAATTATTTATTTGACAAAGGTGCCTTCGTCTTACACCCTGATGGAACATTCTCTGTCGACTTTGATAAGGTATGATCTTTTCAATCTTTCCTTGACTTCATTTGAATTGAACTGATACATGTATTATAATTTCTCCTACTGAAGGTTGAAGGTGTGGTTGAGACCTTGAGTCGGGAGATTCTCACATTGCAAGCACAAGGTGACAAGCGCGCAGCACAAACTCTTCTTTCAAAGTACTGTTTGATGACTCAACCATTGAAATGTGCTCTTGAAAAACTGGAAAGGATTCAGGTATGCGCTTTAATGTTTCGTTAAATATTTATGGAATTTAATTGTTGGAATTAGTTCTTTGCTAAAAAAGAAACTTAAGCATACCCTTTTAACTATTGTCATTCATTTACGTCCTGTATTTATGTCAAAATGTACCCAGGGTATAATCATGAACGAAATAACATAAGTTTTATTTATGGTCGAAGAAGTCATGTTACAAATAACTAGTGACATTGTGTAGTTACATCACAACGTATTGACTAATCCGGCTAATGTTGAACATTGTAAATTGAAATGGTTAAAAAGTTGAAAAGCCAGATTATTTGGGATTTACACATTGAACATTGAAATTATGATTGAAATTTGAATATGTGGTAGATCCACATAATAAATAAGTGTACGTAACTCGACTAATGCTCCAAAATTTATGGTTGTTTTTTATCAAGGACTTCCAAATTACCTCGAGGAACTCAGCATCTCTTTATTTTTTCCCCACTTTTTCTTTGAAATCTAATATATTTCAAACAGAATCTGATGGGACCAAAAAAACTGAAAACTTGCTTTTCTCTTATATTTATCTTCAGACCTCCATCAATCACTTGACCTGAACTTAACATTCTATTAAATTAACAGAAACATTTTCTCATATATGTTTCCCTTTGATGTAATTCTTGTTTTGCAGAAGTCATATAAGTAGTAGTCTTTCTGTTCGATTTTTGGCATTACATAGTATTTTACTCAACATAGAGCAAGTTACAATCTTTTCTCATTGTATTGGAGTTCATAATTAAAATTCTTATTTTTTTTTCTCACTCCAGGTTCCTGTGGATATTGCTCCTGATTTCCCCATAGCTGATCAAATTCTTCTCAATAATCTCTGAAGGTTAGATCATGCGAACAACTTGGAAGATGCCCTCATCCAAGTTCGTCTCCCTCTTTGGCTTTGCATATTTTCTGACTCAGATATTTCACCCATTAGCCGAATGAGTGGAATAAAATATAGCCAGTGAACGTGGCATTTGTCAGCGTGTCGTTATTCATAGCGATAAGTTCATAGTTTGGAAGAAATTATTCCGCGTCTTGGATTACAAGCACATTATATGCACATATTATTTTTGGCTTTTACTAGAAATAAAGGGCATGGCATAGTTGCTATATAAATATATATCCATAGCGATGTTCAATGACTGGTTTTATAGCTTCTATTTGATCTTTGACGGCCAATCGTACGAGTTCACCATGTTCCATGCCACTTTCCCTATTGTTTCTCGCTGTCGCATGCTTATTTATGTGATAATATTTTTAGCATAAAAAATATGCATTTTAACCTTTTAATTTAGAAACATTATCATAACCTTCATATTACCAATTTTGTTTCTAATGTATCATGTATGTAGAAACCATTTATAGTATGACTCTGAATTAAGCAATTTCTATTAGTTTGGGAGATACAGGTGGCAAAATGTGTGAATTTTGAAAATTAACTGATAAAACTAAAATTTAGTGATCTAATTGTAATTTTGATAGAAGTTCAAGACCACAGATGAAATTTAGCCTTTGTTTGGTTTCCTTTTACTTCCTTATAATTTACTTTTTGAAATCAAACATTTTGTAGGATACACAATTATCTTACATTTATCTGCAACTTATAATTTTAACAACTAAGGAACCCGAAACAAACACTCACTCTCTCATTACTATGGTTTTATTGGTAAAGAAGTAACATAAACAAGTTCAAACTACATTGCAAATTTGTGAAAAGAATAGTAGATGGGAGTCGTTAACTTCTACACAAAAAATCATTTATCACCTGTTTCTATATTAAGGAATATGATGGTATGGAAGCGAACATAAACCTCAAACCTTCATTAATTTTTTTCTTTTTTTTTTTTTTTTCACCCTTACCCAATGATAGTATAGCACAACTTCCATTGATAAAGGGGGTTACCAAAGGCTGGTTGAAAAACTAAATTATTTATTTCATACCGAGCCAAATATTGCATATAAAGTAAGTGCAGTGAGCCAATTCATGCACAATTCGCGTAAACCTCACATGGTTAAGCGCACATTGAGATACTTGAAGTCTGCTCCAAGTAAAAGGTCTATCATTCTCGAATTATGATAACACCTAAAGGTTGAAGGCCATGCTATTGTAGATTGGGCAGAGGTTCAATCGACATTTAAATGTCTACTTCAAGATACTTTACTTTTGTAGGTAGAAACCCTGTGACTTGGATGTGTGGAAAACTGGTAGTAGCAAGATCAAGTGCGGCAAATGTTTACAGAGGTATGATATTTGGGGTGTGTGAATGCTTTGGTTGAGAAATTTGTATAGTCACTTAATCGAATAAAGCATGTGATGATTGACAAACATCTTATCAAAGAAAAACTTGAAGCTGGAATCATTACTTTTCCATTTGTAAAGTCGAAGAGCCAACTAGGAAATGTCCTTGCTAAACCAGCAAGGTGTTTAGCATCTCTCTTGTCAAGTTGGGTACGTGTGATATCCATACACCAACTTGAGAGGTGTTGGAATAATTCAATTGTATAGTAAACTTCTTCTTGTAATCAGGGGACATCGCTTAAAATTATGAGAAACGATATATAATCACTGTAATATTGAAAAATCCTCTATTATCACTGTAATAATAAGCGGATTCTTTCTTGTATATATAATATACTCTGTAATATCAATAAAAATCACCATAATTATTCTTTAAAACACCTTTTGGCACCATGTTCCTAAATTGCCAAATGTTTCAAGAAAGTAATAATCATGGAAGTACTACTCCCATCACGATGTATCCTAACAATCTTATAAAAATAATCGTGATGGAGAAAAGAGACAAAAAAATTGGGTTTCAAGTTGGGCTAATACGTGAAAAAAAAAAAATATTTACACAACAAAAATCTGTTTTTAAAAATAAAAAAAAAATCGAAAAATTACCCTAAAAAAAAAATTAATTGGGCCTGGTTGCGTGGGTGGGGACTACAGCCAGCCAGTCCCGCCCCACCCCCACCCCAACCCAATCGCCACCTACATAACCTGTTGCACTGCATAAATTAACTATAAATACATTACAGTACCAAAGTTTAAACCTCCGGACATACCACCAACAGAGTCGCCACTGGTCCATTTCTGCATCTTCTGGCCGTCCCTAAGCAGCTAAATGCTTTTAATAAATCATTACAATAAAGTTAAAGAGCTAGAGATCTAATAGTTCTGTTTTAAAAAATAGAGACAAAAATGCAACACATGCAATAATGGAAACCTCCACTGCTATTTACTCATGATTTTAGTCCTTGTGGGATTCTAAAGGTAAGAATGAATATATTGCTAAGCCTCGTCTGACGAGACTCCATAAATCCTACTTGGCAAGTGAATCTGGGCCCGTGAAGAGGCCGAACTTATAAGGAAGCCAGTCGATCCCATATGGAGAACCACACCATCATGATGGGACGAGGCTGCAAGGGGTTTAGTAGGAGATCTTTTATACAATCCTTAGTAAGTAATTGATGTGACAATTCAATGCTACGCTGTTCTATTCAATAAATCAGGTCAAGTCTGAGTCTTGTGTTAGACTTCTAGACAACAAAATGATATTAGCATTAAATGCTTATAATTGATTGATACCTCTGACAAGATGCCTCAGTCGTATGAGTGTTTTCATCCTATGATCAATATCCAATATCTTTTACTATAAAAGTTCATGTAATATGTCATTCCAAATGTGATGTCAGTTTGGATTCTCAAGCTATAGTTTTGCTATCCTTACTGTTATTATCACTTATTCTCCCCAAAACTAACCCCCTTTTAACATAGGAGGCTCGCGTCTAAAGTACCTTTTACATTCATATACTTATTACTTCAACTGACTTGATGTCGAAGTACATGTGGCCAACTCCACCACCACTGGAGTAAGTCACGTGTGACTAACAATTTGTCCTAGTGTGTAAGAATCAGGCCTACGTGGAGGTGGGAGGCCTCAAGATCTGTTAGCCACATTAGAGGTATAAAAATTGGGGTCAACACATATTTTAAGCAGTAATGTTTACTTTTGACGGAGGTTTCAATTTATCCTTAGTTCCTTGACAAATAAACTTAGCCCCTATTTGACATCCTTTACTCTAATTTAATTTATTTCTCATACGCACATTTAATAACACGTTCACATAATAATATATTTTACACGTAAATTCAAAATTTTCCCTACTTTTTAACCACATATTCTCGAAAAAATACTAGTTAAAACATTATATTTTAAATTTTAAAGATGTCAAGCAGGGGCTTAACTGCATTTGCATATAATCTTTTCCAACAAATCGGTATTCGGAATAGTGTGTTAATGCTTGAACTCTGAAAAGAATTTCATACACCAAAACAAAATATGGTTTATAATCATATCTCTAGCTAATCAATCGATCCACGAGTATAACTGGACAAGGAATTCTATAGTTTCCTCGTATCAATAATTTTCTAACATCGTTAGGATTGGGGTTAAGGTTGAATGGTCATTTTGTTCCATAATTTTTCATATTTTCGTTTATCATTTTATAATCGGTTTAGGGAAATCAATCTGTCTTCTGCCAGCCTGCCTGAGAATTTTTGCCAATGATTTATGAGGTAGGTGTTCTATCTATTTCACTCTCATAGGAAATCCCAAAATTTTATTACCATGTCTCAATTCTAAGAATAAGTTCCTGCGTTCAGGAATTATTCACAGAGCTCATAACAACGCAGCACCTGTATCGTGCTTTTTCTGTCATCATTGTGCCGAAAACCAATAAAAAATTGACTGTAAAAATTCCGTCAAATGTTTTTTGTACCTGTAGCATAACTACAATTCTAATCGGTCATTGTTTCTAGGCACAAAAAATTTTGTTGGAGAAAATCAAGTTAGTCCCAGGTGCAAAAGTTGAAAACAACAAATTTTGTCTATCCGCACACTTCCATTCTGTCGATGAAAAGGTTAAAAAAAACAAAAACAAAAATAAAAAAATCGTTCATTTCTTGGATTTTTTTTTTTTTTTCAATGGAGAAATTTGAAAGAAATTTAATTTTTTTTCTTGTTTAATAGATTTGGGGCAAACTAGGAGAGTAAGTTAAAGAAGTGATTAAGGACTATCCACAACTCGGATTGAGACAATGAAGGAAGGTGTTGGAGACTCGCCCCACCATTAAATGGGACAAGGGAAATGCACTTGAATTCTTGTTAGAGTCATTAGGTGAGTGACGAATACTATTTTTTAGTTGCTATTTATAGAAAACCCACTTTTAGTAGTAAAATTGTTAGTTGATTGAATCTTCAGATTACAATGAATTGGACAATATCTTACCATAAACTGGCGATGATCGCACCGATGAAAATGCATTCAACGAATTGGTTCTTGAGTTTGGATTTCTATTATAAGAAAAGTTTTAGCCCATGTTTTTTTTTAAATCACATTTTTAGTAAATTTTGATAAAAGTTAATATTCGAAATCTCTGGAAAATCACAAAATAAAAAATAAAAAGAAGGAAAATTTGGAGAAGTACAGTTGACAACTATAAAATAATTAGTATCAGAGATGTAAACTTCACTCATCCATATGTAGCAATGGTCGAATAACATGGTAGAAAAGGAACTACTTAGCCAAATCTAAAGTTATATGGAATAAAACTTAAAGCATATGTTTGACACTATTAATAATTGGTTAAACCTAATTTTTATTTCATACATTTCGTAGAATCCACAAATAGTGTCCACTTATCTACTGGTCATTTTATATATTTATAATTTAAACAAATTCTAATCACTTCCGAACATGCACTTAGATTTGATGTCATAGATGAAAGTTCAAAGCCTTCCTACCTCCATCGAAAAATTAAAAATTAAAAATCCCCAGTTGAGGTAGGAAGTGAGAAAATGGTCCTGCAGGGATAGCAAAAGTTATATTCAAGATCACAGGCAAATCTAATTTTCCACTGTCATTGGGATATTTTCATCACAAAACAAGATAATAAACAAACTTAATTTTACAAATGGACCAAAAAACACTCCCTGCCATGCATGCAATACTATCTTGAACGATAAAAGGGTTACAACTCTAAATCACATGATTTAGAGAAGGTTTCTCCTGGAATATCTTATTTCTCCCTCAAGAAAACTAGTAAAAAGTCTCACCAATAAGCAACTTGACAAAACTATTTAACTTTATTATATGATATGCCTAAAGTTTAATGGACACCAGGGGGCCCGTCATGGCCCATACCTTGGCTGGGTCCTGGAGTCGTCGGCCTGAAAGCGTCCGACTGTATCTTCTTATACTGATTGACAATAATTCCATGACTCTCTGGAGGTTTCAGGCTTTTCAAAGCTCGGAGGGGGGCTGGCGGGTGTATATTAGGCCTTTCGGAAGCAGAAATTAAGCCAAAATTCTTCGGGCTGTTCAGATTCGGGACTGGAGCTGGTGGGAGAACATTAAGCATCCTGGATGCAGAAATCAAGCAAAAATGCTGCTGGAAGATCAAGGAAACGAAATAAAGTGACAGCATATAATTTTTGTTATGTGAGGCCATGGATATGAATAGAGACATTTCTTGGGTATGTATAACACAAAATGTGCTTCAAAAAATGAAATTGTGTGGTGAAATCCCTCATAGTGCATGCTATTTAAGAGCAATGTAAAGGTCCCACAAGTTCAAGACAAAGTTTAAATAAGTAGATAACCCAGTTAAAATACGTGGATTAAATGTAGAAAATCCTCTAGAAATATTTTCACATGCAACATACTCCTATCTATTATAAATCATAGACAACCTCCAGTGCGAAACCTTCTGCCATCAAGATCCGTCAGATTTGCCATTAAACAAGTAAAAAATGCCAAAATTAAAAAGGAATAATTACAATTTTAGTATCTAAAATTTTTATTTTTTTACAAATTAAATCCAAAATTTTTATATGTGCCACCTATGATCACATGATTTAATATAGTATGAAATGTCGTGAGTTCAAGTCTCTTCTGATCGGCTGACACCTATTTGAAATTTTTGCACATGATAGCATACACATGAAGCGAAGACGCTTGTTGAAGACAAAGTTATAACCAAAAGATGTGATTTCATTATAATTGTTGACCTCATTTTCTGTTGGGGCGACATGGATAACAGATTTTGAGTCCACTTATGTCCATGCAAGCAAATTCCTACACGTTTTGACTATTTTCTAGTCAACAATACTTCGAATTTGGATGTGGAAGAAGTTCTACGACACGAGACAAAAATGTTCGGGCTCTGACAATATATACAGGAATGATTGTAAAATAATAACCAATCACAAACAACTCTAAGACATCGAAGTAATCCAAACTCAAGTTAAGCAAGTATATAATCAACAAGAGAGAAGACAAATAGTAGCTTTAAGTGTATTGAGTTGCATTAGTCTTCAAATGATACATGGAGGAGTATTTTTTACTACAAATGAAATAGTGTCCATTGGATGAAGAGACATGTGGCCTCATCTCCTTAATCGTAGCATTTAATCCTAGACATTAATTTGAACTTCCTAGCCC